TTTGTCACTTGCCAGATAAAAATTATCCGACCGCTCTAAAAATACACAACAGACAAGCGCGTCACGATCAGAGAATGAATTGAAATGTTCTTTGTTTTTATTTCGCAGAATGAAAAAAAAAGAAACAAATGACATGAGGTCGCATCATGTCACGCATGCAAAGAACAACATACGCATGTCCTTAACAACCAAATGTGTTCACAAATTCGAAAATAGCTGAATGCCAGCAATACTCCCATACTTATACATATCGCGTACAAATATGCAAATTTTGTAAAGCAAAACAACCCAAACAGACACACACACGACAAGTGCACATGTCACTTAATTTTTCTCGTTAGAACAACCACGCGGTTCTTTTTGTAATTTGCGACATCCACTATACGCAAATATAAACCGAAGAGAGAAAAAAATACGTAAAAACAAGAAATAAAAAGAGCAACGAGTCATTTTCAATCAATTCGATCTTCGTGCAACTGATTAATTAAAAAATTAAATGAATGCTATAAAAGCGAAAATAAGAAAAAGAAAAAAAAAAACACTGTCCGACTGAAGTCAAGTCGCAAACATTAAAAATATTTCAATCATTCGAAATCGCATTTGAAGATGGCACACAATAACTCTTTCCATTTCGGGTTGTTTTTATTTGTTTCGTTGCTGGTTTGGCATTTGTCGATTTATTGTGAAACGCAACTACGAAATCAGAATTGAATTGGATGTATCATTTTATACGAATATGGAGAGAATTGTAATGAGCAACAACAGCAGCCAAAAGATTATCAAGAACATTAAAAATAACCACGAAAACGCCGGTGACGACAGTGCGCGCAACCACATGTCTCTGTTGGCAGATGTTTAGCATTAGGTTGGTAATGTAAATTGAACGAGAGCGCAAAATCAACAACTATAAAAATGAGAATGAACGAAGAGCATGAACAGAAAAAAAAATAAACACAAACTACCAACAATGCAATGAAAATGTGGAAATGCACACGATTGCAGTTGCTGTGCTCGATCGCTTCACCGTTTCGGTGTCTCTTGTTTTTTTTTTATCGGTAAACATTTTCAATATTCCATATTTGCGAGCGCAAAAAAGCACACAAGCACATATACACACTCACGCATACTACAAGTTGGTTGCATCAAGTACGCACTTGATGCACATATATATACGCCACGAGCCGTATAGTCATAAAAATTATATATCTGCGCTCTTCATCGTAATCGATCCCATTCATATGTAGTATACTCCCCAAAAATACTGAGTGATTCGATAATTATCTATTTTGAGCAATGAAATGCTTTTGATGTTCTTGAATCGGTCTGTTTACCAGTCACAGAGAACCAACGATTAGCATATTAAACGAATTCATAGGACAAATGCACACGCGTGCATAATCGAGACTATAAGGGAAGTGACTGACTGCTACGTGACTTTTTTTTTGAAGTACAAACATGTTAATGTATGCAAATGTTTTGTCATATACCATAATATATTGGCTGTTTTTTTATTAGGAACCATGCGCAAAAAAAGAACGAAAATATATTCAATGACGACGATGACCGAAACCGAAACCGAAAAAAAAGATGAACAATTAAGTCGTGCGTGCAGAACTGTTGTTTTGCACGAAACAAATCTTCCACCTTGACCAATTTATTACCGTGTTTTCTTCAACGCTTTTGAATGCGCTTAGTCGAAGAGCGAACAAATAAAAACACTCTCTTTGTTTCGCAACCATTTGTCATTTGTTGTGATGTCGTTAAAAAAAAACCAAGAAAAAATGCACTATGTGTTTTTTTTGCATTGGAACCCTAGCATCGTCAAACAAATGACGATTGCACCAAAATCTGTAATCTGATCCCTCGTACTTGTTATCATTCACATGTGCATGACAAGGTACAGACACATGTCCAAATGTACCGAAGCCGTAGCATATCGAAAGCACGCCGACAAGAAGAGTCAAGAGGAAAAAAAATCATTCTACAACAGCAGATGATTTTAGTCACATTGTGTGTATGTGTAAACGAGTGTTTATCCAAATAATTTTCCTATGTTTCACTGCTGAGCCGATTTCCGAAATAAAAGCTGCGTTCGAATGCAAAACTTTTTAAACAAAATCATCCAAATCGAAATGTGGAACATCTGCAGAGAATCAACCGTAGACAACAATATATGGCTTTTGAAAACAAGCGTCTATATTTCGGTGGTTCGATCGATTGTCTCAGTCACAACTGCGCATTTGATCGTACCAATACGATACGTATTTGAAACTGATTTTGAAATCGGTGAGAAATGACTGGCTTCATCTTATCTTTTAAAATGGTCTCTAGCCGTGATTACAGATAGACGCATTTCTTTTTTTCCTATTTCATTTTTTTTTCTCATGCCCAACTGTTACGTATCATAAACACAGGTAGATTTTTATACCATGTCCGAAGGCTGTTTTACTGAACCAAAAACAGATATATACATTTTTTTGTTGATTTTTGCTTTCGAAATTGTTGAAATAGTCAAGCTGTTGCTGTGATTGTTGATTTATTTTCATTACCTTTGCGAATGCTATCATCATTTATGCAACATATGCGCGCAAACAGATTGCAAAAATATCAATTCCCGATCCCACAATAAAAATATACCTTTTTTTCGCATTTGTTAGCTTCTGTCCGAAAATGATGAAATATTTATCCTGATCGATGTTTCACAAAGTTTGAGACACAAACATGATGAAAGTGATATGATGAAGAGAGGAAAAAAATCCACAAAATTATTTATTGAAGCGATTGGGATGTTTCCTTTAATTAGATATAAAATATCTGAAATGATGTAATAAATCATGTTGCTGGGTCTCTAAGACGGTTTTTATTGTCATATCAGTCTTTCTCATAGAAATATGTCCCTGAGAATGGGTATTTCAAAATGTAAACATTTTATTATTGAGCTCATTGGAATCCGTGTGCTATTGTGTCATCTTTGGTTAAGCCATATAAATGAATGAATGTATGTGGTGGTAGTAGTTTTAGGATTTTCGAAAAATGCTTTCATGCATCGAAAAGTAATTCTTTTCGGCTGTTTTCACATTCATTCGCCATTTCGATGTGCTCTCTTAAAGACTTTTTTTTATATCGTACACATAATAAGGAGTTAAAGCAGCAAAAAAGAATACACAAAAATCTATTATACCCGAACGCATTATTCTAAACTCGATCCTAGACAAAGGCCAAGCCATATTTGTTCGCCTACATTTTATACTTATTCTTCTCCTTCTTTCAAAAAAAAAAACTCATTGATTTGTTCACAACAGTGTATTCTCTTTTTTTGGATGTGTTGTATATGTGTTGGAACACAACACATTGGAACCAAATAATAGTCGACAGAAGAAAGGAACTTGACTGAAACATCTGCCTTTGCTTCGTCTCCTCTTTGTGTGCACACACTAATGATAGCTTGGCTGTGATAGCTTCGTCTTTATCAGTGCACAGAAGAAAAAAAATAAACCAAAATCAAATAGTTTGTAGCGTACATAATTCGATGCATAAAAAATCAATCGGATCCTCGACCATAAATGCAAATGAACAACGCATTAACACTCAATAAAAAAAAGACGAAACATGATTACATAAAAATGTACACCGAGTTACTTTGTTGTCAAAAGATTTCAATGCTTTATAAACTAATCATGTGTGTATGTGTAATATTTTACATGCATTTCGAACGAGAAGGGGCATTTCCAATACCTAGTAATTTGTGAAGGAACCAATTGCCATGAGTTTTCCATGGTCGATCATTATGTTGTAATATAAATGCATTTTACATGCAAATGCATAACGGTCTCCGCAACAATGTTGTCAATTGTCTCGACGAGGACATTTGTGACTCCTCTCTGCACAAACACACGAACGCTATTTGTCCTTTTGTCATATTTCCAATGAACTAAAGCTGTACCGAATGTCATCAGACTGCTGAATTTTCTCTCCATCTCTTTATAATCTTTATTTATGACATGCAATGTTTACTTTATATTGTTGTCAATTGGTTCTGCATTGTAAATTCACCGAGACAAAATTATTAGCTAGCTTTTTTTTACTTGATATTGGTTGGGGTTCCATCGGAAACGAATACATCATGATTCTTGTTGTTATTGTGCAATCGCTATGTAACAGCAATAAAGTGAAAAAAAAATGTAGATTTTCTGGCGAAAAAAAAGTTGTCATTGTAAGAGACGGCTTATTGACATCAATAAACAAATACAATAAGAAAGCCAAGACATGGTCGCAATATGCGGAACTTCCCTCGATCGAACTTTTATAAAACCTTCATTCAATTTGGTTTATGTTCAGTTCATGGCATTACTTTTCTTCGATAGTAATAAACTTAACGGGCAAAAAAAAATCAAATTTGATCAAACAAAATAACAATGTTGAAAATGGAAAATGAGCAGAAAAAAGTGTACACAATACCATCGATGGAAAAAGAAACGATGTAATCAAATGAAGAAAGGGTTCCCGATTTATTTTCAATAAGCATGAATAGCTGCTGCAATGAACGTTGTTTTAGGTGTTGGTTTTGTTTGCCTAACAACAAAAAAAAAATTCCAAACGAAAAAAAAAATATTATGTCGAACGAAATACACAAGAAGTTACAATGAAAAAAAGAATCATCATATCAAAAGATTATGTAAAAAGTATATTCCATTGAATTTTATAGATTAAATCGAACATTGCGCGGGGTAGAATTTAAGCTGACGACAATTTTATACATGTATTATAGACTGTATTTTATCGGTTTTAACAATGAGTTTCATTATGAAATCCGACTTCATCAATGCATGTCGCAGCAATCGATTTAGAAAAAAAAATTGCACAGAGTAGTTCATAGACGTATTCATGTTGACAGTTAGCAAGTTGTACGTGTCTTTCATGTTAATTTTACTTTTAAGATGGAAGTTTCATTGCATAATAGCTTTAACATTTTTTTTTTCTTTCTCGTTTTTTTTCTACAGATGTGCTGATTCAACAGCTATCGATTCAAAAAAATTTAAGTGTATCATGGGATTGGACGGGTGGTAGTCATGAGTCAAAATATTCCAGCATTCAATATGATTATCGTGTTACATGTGATTCGCATTATTATGGTGTAAATTGTTCTGATCTATGCCGGCCACGTGACGATCAATTCGGCCACTACATGTGCTCATCAAATGGTACCATTGTATGCTTATCCGGATGGCAGGGTGACTATTGTACCAGAGGTAAATATTTTTTTTCGAATTATTTTTTTAAACACTTTTTCCTGTTCAAAGTCGGACAGAGTCATTAAATTACAAGTATGTTCAGAGAAATGCCACCAAATTCCACAAAAATCAACTCACGCCATTTCAAACCAACATAAACCTGATTATATAAAATATGCCATTTCTATTCGCTTAAAAAGAAGAAGAGGAACAAAAAAAAACGAGCGAATAATTACAATATCTCTTGCGTTCCCTTTCTGCTGCAATACTGTGGAATGTGCACGCCAACAAAACACCAATGTTGTTATTTTGATCAACAGTCTCCGTAACAAGTGGAGGAGAGGCAAAAAAAAAACGAATTGATATGAGCATTTGCAGTAGCTAAGTCAGACTTAGACGCTGAGAACGATAGACAAACAAACACTTATTTTAATATAGTCTATTTTCATTTTGCCTCCATTCCATGTGAGTATGTGTGTGTGTTTTTTTCGACATGGAATCCACAAATGGAATAAAGATATTTTCAAATAAAATAAAGACATTTGTGAAGCCAGACATTAAATGAAATTGTATGGAAAACAATCTATTAGATCCTTCACCAATAAAGTTAATGAAACACGCTCTCAGTATCGTATTATTATTATTGAGACATATCCACAGAAATTTCAATTCAAAGTGGAAAAAGTGATTTTTTTTTTATTTAATATCGTCTCCGTCGTCTCTGCGCGACTGTGCATGTCGATCATATAAATGTACAACTGTGTGATTATATGTTAATGTGAATATATGCACACCAGTTTGGTAGTTTTCTAGTGAGTATAATTTAATTAAATCTCTTGATGCACGCAATCGTTATAAAAACGCAATCAAATCGTTTAAAATAAAATTGTGGAGAGAGGTACAGTAGTTTGAGCCACATTCAACACAACATCAAATTAAAACACACAATGTATGAACGATCCAATATATCTGGTAGGAAGTTAATTTCCATAAATAAAGCCGCATGATTCGATTGTGGTGTCAAATTTATTCGACGTATTCTTTTTTTGATAATAGGTCAGTTCTCGTTGATTTATGTCATTACAATTAGACAAATCATGATTGTGTTGGTCCAGCATCATTTAGAATATCCACTAATGTGTAATATTTCCGTTTGAAAAACACACCTTTTGAAAACAATCATGCCGTTACTGCCGAAATAAATTTTATAAATTGGAATGTCTGTAGAACACACGGCAACCACAATGTGAATGATGCATTTTGAGACAGACGATCAAACACATTAAAATAATTAGATATGAAATGTTTGTTGCTAATGCTAATGCAGATAACAAAAAAAAAAAATCAACTAAGAAAATATGAAGGAAGCAAATGAAAAAAAGCGTACAATAAAATAACATGAAATACGGTAGTGCCACGCAGAGTTATGATTTTGTGAATTGTAATTATACAGAAAAAACAACAACAACAAGATGTGAACAATGTGATGAGCCGCGTCGAGTTGAGTCGCACAAATGAAACCCGAAGAAAGATACAGACAAACATACACTGAAAAAAAGTACACGTCATAAATAAAGACGTCAAATGTTGAATGTGGATCATTTTCCATGGATTGAAATCATGTAGCAAAAATCAGCGCTCATTCGTCTCCAACTCTATTGTATGTTGTTCGTTGTGTCTCTGTTCGCTGCCTCTTCTCGTTCTTCAAATTTATTGTTTACGTGTACGATAATGAATGAGCGTTGAAGACACATTGTGTGGAAATTGTAGCGAAAAAAAAAATACGTGAAACAAAGAGAATGAACAGCAATCCGGCGCACATCGATAACCAAGCAAAATACTCCAACTGCAAAGAGATGCTAAAGACATTTGATTTTAATGAAGAAATTTATTTATTCTAGTTTTGTAGTTGTTGTTATTTCGACTAATTCATAGCTTGATATCATGAAATGATACAGTTTTACCCCCGTTTTATGCATTGTTCACAAATGTGCCATTGTTATGCCAAATGATAGTTTAAATGGTTTTTTATTTAATGCTCATCATTTCTTTTTTTCTCTCTATCTTCGTGTCTCTCTTTCTCTTTGGGTATCTTTGGATTTTTCACTGTGAACGTATCAAGCTCAATTCCAGCCACATAATCATCATATTTAAAAATTCCGTTGAATGAACGAATGAATGAATGGAGTCAAAATGAACGGACACTACACAGAATGAGCTATTGATTTTTATTTTTTAGAAAATCTTCTGTTTGTTGCTCTTTTTTTCGTTGATTCCACTGCTTTCTCACATTGATGCTGAAAAATGATTTTGAAATAAGCATAAATCATAACTATCGCTATCTTCTTAGAATACAAATGATAAAAGAAAACTAGCCATCTCAAGTCAAATTCAGACGAATTCATGTCAATTAACGTCGCATTTGCTTTCAATTAGGCGTCAATTAAACTTGCTGCAAATGCAAGTCAAGTCACTTGATGTATGTGTGTATGCATTTACATGAGCTTGTATACGTGTACCGTTCAACAGCTCCCACTATGCAAATGCACTCTTGTTCTCAGCTGTACATATTCAAACGAGTAAAACCAATAAAAAGAAACAACTCGATTTATCGGAGCATTTAAAAGAAAGAGAATTATCTTAATCGAATTCCGGTGCACGCACACCATACAACTCACTTTGCATACATGGAGAGCGAAAGAGATAAGCATACATTCATGAATCGGGCTCTCAAGCGCACCACTTCAGCAACTCAAATAAAATTAAATACGATAATTTCATTATAATCTTCTCAATTTATGATTGCGTCTTGCTCTTTAATATCACGGAAAACGTCGTTGTTGTTGTTATTGTCATATGCAAGAAGTGTTTTCATTGGAACATGCACTGAACCAAACCACACGGCGAACAACGGTGCATCTACTTTTCACATGCCACTTTTAACATAACGATGAAACGTGAAATGAAACGCACCAAAAATTAAATTGTCAATAAATTTCTTAAGTCTTCACTCTGTGAGTGCACTTTTAGTTTATGAAAACAAAAAAAATCAATTTCGAAGAAAAACCATCTTTGTTCAATTCATAACGTTTTTTTTCCGCTATTTGAAACCGATTTAAACTTCTTAAGTTAACAAATCCATCGCGCATTAGTGATTACCATAGCAGCCGTGTTTTCAATACAACCGCATTTAAAAAAAAAGAAGAAGAAACAAATTACATCCACATTTGCATGTTTGATGTTTGGACACTGTTTTGGTACGTCGGAAGAGTAAATGGTTTGAGAAAGTATGGAAATAACCATCGTCTTGTCATGCACACAATCTCGACACATTTCAAGAAAAAAGGAGTCTGCAAAACAGTGGCTTTATTACGAATGCTAATGAGCTAATTATTTCCCAAAATACTTTCAATTTTCCACTACTCAATTCATCTGCAGCACCTGAAAACCAATAGCCATTGATTTGTTATTTCTTGAATAAAAATGAATATAGTTTCATTTGCTGTGAAAGGATAAATGAGATTTTTTTTCGTAATGCCTTGAGGAAGCGAAATAGCCTAGATTAAAGTGAAGAAGTTGAGTAAAACAACATGTTTTCAACGTGTAATATTACTACTGATATTCATGCCCATGGGGGTAGCTTTGCGTCTCACTCATTTGAACCAATTTACACGATATTTTTCCCTCTTTGGTTATTCGTATCTTTCGAACGCATTACGATAAAGTCTACGGGTCAGTATGATATCGATGTTTTCTGACTCGTCGATATATTCGATGGATAAATAATATCGAAAAAAATGATGAAAAGAAAAAGAGAACGATATGTGATTACTGATTATTCTGAGTTCTCTTCGGTTTTATATATATATATGTGTATATATTTGTTTTTTTTTTCGCTTTGAATGCAGCCAGCTGAAGTATATCAAGACAAAAAGGTGCACATCTTTTTTTCGGTAACTTCCCAGGCCAGAAGCGTTCCTTTTTTTTCTCCTCTTCCATCCACTTCTTCGTGTGTAAGCGATTTTTTTTTTCATTCTCTTTTTATACGTATATATCGTGTGTGCTGCGACTCGAAAGATCAGTTCTTTGCTTATTTGGTTCTCGTTCGTCGTTTTTGTAAGGCAAATGGTTTTTGTGCAGAATACGCATGCATCGCTCTCGATCACAAAGGATCGTGTTGGTGTTGATGCTTTGCCTGAATATGTGTTTTGAGTATGTTATCTTCTCTCTGTTCTTCTCTGTTGTCGTTGCCTTCTTTGCATCAATGTCGATGGCATAATTCGTTGCGAGATCTAAAAAATGTGTGCTTGACTTTATTACGTGAGAACCGAAGAACGGCAAAACGATAACAGATGATCTTCGATTTCGTGTTTCATTTCAAAGATGATTTTCATCAATTTCGGTTTTTTTTTCTTCATATATAACTCCTTCTATAGAGTTACGGTCGATTTTTTTCCTAAAGCATCATCAAGCGTTCGCCTTTTTTTATGAAAAGGAAGCAGTTTTTTTCTACGTGTTTAAGCAAACGCATGTAGCTTCCTTTTACTTTAAAATAAAATATCGATCATTTTTTTTCATACGCTTGTTTTTGCTACTTCACAATTTTTATTGAGGTTTTTGTGTTAGTTGTTGATTTGTAGAAAAATGTTGATTTGAAATTCAAAGAGGAAAAAAAAGATAATCCTTTGCCGTTTGAAAACTTTGGAGAATATTAGATGGAGTAGTCCTTAAATTAACGTTCACACAAAATAAAAGCAAAATGATCATTTCGCATGAAACGCCACCGCTGCAGTTAGAAATACAACACAAACTCACAAAACCCAAGCCATTGGAATGTTTCGAACTACACTCACAAATCGTATATAAATGTATCGAAAAACGGTAGTTGTTCGATGCTCAAAAGTCTCTTAAAACTGTTCGCAGAATATAATTCTGTTTTGTGTATTTGTCTGCATCGAATAGCCGCTACGTGTATGTTTGTTTTATGCGCAAGAAATGAACGGAGTAAAAGAGATGGT